TCCTCACAGGCAAACATTGAGGCATGTGGTATTATTGTCCCCAACTGAAGTTGAAAAACCAATGCATAGAGAGGCTGAGGGATTTGCTCAAGGTTACATAGCTAGGAGATAGTTGAGCCTGCTTCGAATCTAAGTGGCCTTGCTGCTCGGACACAGTAGATGTGTGGAAAGCACATGATGAAGCACCCAACATGTGTCAATCCAGCCAAATGAGGCTGGTTCACCTTATGGCTCTTGGGTTAGTTGCTACGCTTGCTATTTGACTTCTAGGATGCTGAAGGACAAAGGATTATGTTACTACTTTAACTGGTAGGCTTCAGAATAGTAGGCAGAAAACCATTTAATTTTCTTTTGACGATAGCTTTCTGGGCTCTGGTAAAAATGATATGTATTTTGATATGATATGTATTATGTCAAAGTTCAGAAGTACAAAGAAGAAAGTTAAAACTCATGAGAAAAAAGGAGAAAAAGAAGGAAAAAAGAGATAGAACCAGAATAAACCAAACTCCTTAAAAAAGAAAAACCCTCCAGAAATCCAATGAACTATTTATAGCTATTATTTCCATCCTTTCAGGCAAATTTACATACTTATATATATATTTAGCTCTACATAAAGCATTTTACACAAATGGGATCATATTATATATGCAATTCCAAAACCTATTTTCAAAAATTTCTTCACTCACCAATATGATGTGGAACAAAAGATCACCACCATTATTCTTTGCAACTGCTTAGTATTACCTTGTAAGAGTTACTATAATACATTTCATCAAACCTAATTGAAAGACATTTAGACTGTTTCCCAAAGTCCTATGTGAAAACATTACCAAAAGCATCCTGTTTACTTTTGAAAAATTCATAAGAATCACTTCGGGTAGTCAGAAGATATGATTTCTGGGAAATCACAAGGAATGCACACTGACATTTTGATATGTATTGGTGAACTGCCCTCCCAAAAGATTGCCTCAATTTATGCCCCACCATGACACACATTCATCAGGACTGAATTTATAAATCTTTGCTAATCTGATAGGCAAGATAATCCCAGGAATTTAATTTCTGTTTTTTTGTTTGTTTGTTTGTTTATTTTTTTTATTTTTTTTTTAAGATTTTTATTTATTTATTCATGAGAGACAGAGAGAGAGAGAGGCAGAGGGAGGAGCAGGCTCCCAAGGAGCAGAGAGCCCGATGCGGGACTCGATCCCAGGACCCTGGGATCATGACCTGAGCCGAAGGCAGACGCTTAACCATCTGAGTCACCCAGGCGCCCTGTTTGTTTATTTTTTAATCTTTAGTATACGTTTACTGTCTACCTGAATTTCTTAGAGGATAATAACATATATAAGACTTCTGGTTTCAAAGAAGAGACTTATTTATATGCAAAGAGGTCCAGCCCAGCATTACTTATACTTGTTAGAAAACAGAAACAACCAGATGAGAAACCAACACACCAATTAAGATATAAACATGTGTAGGAATATTTTGTAGCCACACAAACAGGAATATTTTGGATAAGTATCTAATAGCATATGGAAATGATTAATATATTATAAAGTTTGAAGAAAGAAATCAAAATGCAAAATAATTTACAGAATAATTCCAACTGTTAAAATACAAGTTTAGAAGAAAAAAGATGGGAAAAATAATTAGACTAGAAGGAAATACAAGAAATTGTTCATGTGGATGATCTCTGTAAGGTGGGATTTTGGATTATTTCAATTTTCTTCATCATACATTTTTGCATACACAGAGTTTTCTAATACAGGGGCTAATTTTTAACATCTGTTTGGTGCATTCACTGTTCCTACTGTTTAGAGGTCATTCACACACAGATGCATAACATTATCATTAAGGACTTATTTTAGTGAACTAAATGGACATATGCTTTGGTTTATCTGTAATACTAAGGAATATGCCCATTACTACTGACACTGCCTTAGGGGTCAGATCCTGGCTCTCAAGGAGTGTGCCCCTGGAAGGTGGGAGAAGGCATATGCCCAACATCTATAGCATAGAGAGAAGAGCATGTCTGCTGAGATACAGGAACACCTTCCAGAGGAGGTAGTATTTCAGCGCATCCTGGAAGAAGTTGGATTTTATATAACAGTTGTCATTCTCCCCACTGACTCTATAAGAAAGAGGCGTTCGTTGTAGAGGATAGGAAAATGTATAATATGACAACAGACATTTCCAGGGTCATTATCACATGTGGAACACTGTGTTCAATCCTTACATGGAAACATCTCACTTAACCCCCAGCAACCCTCTAAAGGTGGCTGTGATTATTTTGTGCATTTCAAAGGCAAAGAAAGGGAGTATAAAAGATTAAATGAGTGAATACCGGGTACATGATCGGATAATTGGCAGAAGCAGTCCTGGAATGCAAGTTGACCTGGTGCTACAGAAGAAAATAAATCAGTGCTAAGCTCATTCTTTCAGTCTCCTCCGCCCCCACACCCCCATGCAAGAAGCTTTCCCCCGTCCTCTGCACCCCTGGGTGGTTCTCACTCAAGCATTATCAGCACATAGGTGGTAACTGAAGGCATATGAGTGGGTGAGATCACCCATGCAGAGGAGAAGAAAAAGGGCTCTGGGAACAAAGCCCGAGCAACAGAGATGGAGATACATTCCCAGGTCTGGGCTGAAGGGAGAGCAGGCAGCATGGGGAAAATTTCACAGTGGTAACAATCTTGGAGCTGAACCCTAGAGGATGAGAAGTTTGCCAGGTGGAGAAGACAAAGACAAGTGTCCAGAGCAAAGGGAACAGCATCTGCAAAAGCATATGGGATGCAAGGGATAACCTGGTAACTTGGAAAACCAGCAAGTGATTTTAGTATGGCTAAAGCATAGAGTGTGTGTGTGTGTCTACGTGAGTGTGACTATATGTTCAGGAGGTTAGTGTGATGATACATCATCTAGCAAGGAAGGCACACTTCATGTCATTAAAGACCATGTGTTAGTTGGTTTTCCAGAGACACACACACACACACACACCCCATTGGTTCTGATTCTCTGGAAAAACAGAGAAAACAAATATATAGAGATTTATTATGACGAATTGGCTCATGTGAATTATAGAGGCTGAGAAGGCCCACAGTCTGATGTTTGTGAGCCAGAGACCCAGGAAAGCTGGTGGTATTCAGTCCAAGTCCAAAGACCTGAGAACCAGGGGAGCTGATGGTGTAAATCCCTGTCTGAGGGCTGAAGAAGTTGAGCTATGTCCCAGCTCAATCATTAAGGTGGGAAAAAACCCAATGAATTCCTCCTTCCTCTACCTTTTCTTCTATTTGGATAGGATGATGCCCAACCACATTGGGGAGGGTGATCTACTTCCCTGAGTCCACAGATTCAAATCCTGATCTCATCTGAAAAGACCCTCAGAGACATATCCAGAAACAATGTTTAAACTGGGCACCTGTGGCCCACTCAAGTTGACACATAAAATTAATCCTCACAATCCCTTATTAAAAGGTTTGGAATTTTACGGAAAGAGAATCTGGAAATAGAGTGGAGAGATCCCTGAAGGCCAGCTCATCAGTATAAACTTTATTTATCTGGAAGGCAATGAGGAGCCTTTGAATTTTTTTCAAGAAAAGGAATGATAAGATCAGAACTGGGCTTTTCAAGATCCTGGACTGGATGGTTTGGAGAAGGAAGAGGCAGGGGATAAGGCGAACAGTTGGTAGAATAGTATAACAAAGTGAGAGGTGATGAGCATATGTACTCATGGGTACTAGGATGGTAGCCACATAGGGTGGTGGTTTATTGGGGGTGAAGGGGTGGGTGGATTTGGGATGACAGATAAGAGAAACATCAGACAATCTGTGGAGTTATCTGGGAAAGTCCATTGTTGAACATTCAAACCAGCAGTTCAAAAACATGTGCTTCCTTCCTTCATCCACCCAATTACAGCAAACTATTTACTGAGTGCCTACTCTGTGACAGGTCTATGCACCAAACCTCTAGTCCAGTGTGCAGTCTAGACACATTCTCATATTGTAACAACCTAGTGTTACAAGAGTCTAGAAATCAACAGCTTCAGAAGGAGGTTGGGCAGGTAAATCACCCAGGTAAGTACTGGGGGATCTGGGCTACCTTTCTGTAGGAGGGGACTTCTAAGCTGAAAATTCCTAACCTCAGGCAGAGACATTGTGTGGGAGCTGGGAACCCCCTGGTGAAAAAGGTATGTTCCCCTCCCCACCCACGAGGGTGGAGACAAATAAACAGGACAATGCCACCTGACACAAATGCAGCTAAGTCATGCATATGTTATATCTTTCTTTAGTCAAAAAAGGAAACTCTCCTCCGTGCAAATTTACCCTTTTAAGGCCGAGCTATCCGGAACTAGGGGCACCAAGATGGCAAAGTGAGACTGGAGCCTTCCCCCAGGCGGCACCACCCAGGCCTTTGAAGGATAGGTGCAGGGTCGTCCTCCTGGCTATTGAAAAGAACCTAGTCAATGTGCCCTGGTGGCAGGTGGCTAATGTCCTGAGATTTCAGCCTTCCATTGGTGTCCAGCGCCCTGGCCTTTGGGCTCGCTGGCCTGGTTTCCAACCTTCCCTCCACGCTGAAGAAAACTAGGGCTGAAAGAGGACCACCTTAATTGCTTTGGGGACCCGAAGGTGGGGGAAAGGGGAAGGGATGAAAAAACATGCTTTGCGTATTAAAGAAAAAAGGAAAGTGAAATCCGAAACTCGGGGGCAGGAAGCGACCCCAGGCCGACACTTTGTGAACCTTTGGCGGATAGCACACCTGGGTGGGGGGGTGGGGGGTCACCTGCTCGACCTACCACCCTCCCATTCTGGTACCAAAGCCACGAGCCTGAGGAGCAGGGACAGCAGCAGGGAGATAACATCTGCGTCTCTACGTTGCCACCGGCCCCCCCAATCCCCAGCCCGCTGCCCCCCACTTCCTGCAGCCCTGGTCACCTCCGGGGGCGTGTGTGAGGGGCGGGGCTACGTGGAGCTGAGGAATTTAAAAAAAAAGGGCGAGATAATTAGCATTCTCTGATCCCATTGGCTCTCCGCCGGCCCTGCTTTACATATGCCCGCCCTGCTGGCTGCCAGGGGTTTGCGGGGTTCGGCCGGGTTTGCAGCCGCCGCGGTAGCTGCTGCGCTTCAGTGCCGGGCGGGCGCCTAGCGAGCCCCGGGCGGGGAGCCGGGAGCCCGGAGCCGGGAGCCAGCTGCCAGCAGAGCTGCTGCGGCGGCATCTGAGTCCATTTCCGTCCTACGAACACTGAGGCCGGCGGCCGGCGGCTTCTGCGCCCAGCAGGGCCCAGGGAGGAGCGGGTCGGACACTTTTTATTTTATTTTGGAAGAAAGGGGCGAGTCCCGGCGTGAGCTTCCCTCCCGGCCTGGCTCGCTCCCCAGTGCGCCCCAGCTCTGGCCCGGGCTCTGGAAGATGAGTTCGGGGTCCGCCCGGCGTCTACTAACGGCGGCGGCTCGGGGAGGCAGCCGAAAGTAGTAACACTTGGTGTTAAGCAGCTGGTGGAAAAGTGAGCCGAGGCCGCGCGGACTCGGCTCTCCCCGCCCGCCGGCGCCCGGTGCTCTCGCTGCTCCTTCCCCTCGGCTCCGCGGCGGCCGCAGCATGAAGTGGCGCAGCGATGGCCAGGAGAGGTAAGAAGCCTGTGGTGCGGACGCTGGAGGATCTGACGCTGGACTCGGGTTATGGTGGCGCGGCGGACTCGGTGCGCTCCTCCAACTTGTCCCTGTGCTGTTCCGACTCGCACCCGGCGTCCCCGTATGGCGGGAGCTGCTGGCCGCCTCTAGCTGACTCCATGCACAGCCGGCACAACAGCTTTGACACCGTCAACACTGCCCTGGTGGAAGACTCCGAGGGGCTGGACTGCGCCGGCCAGCACTGTTCGCGGCTGCTGCCGGACCTCGACGAGGTCCCCTGGACCCTCCAGGAGCTGGAGGCGCTGCTGCTGCGCTCGCGGGATCCCCGGGCAGGCCCGGCGGCCCCCGGCGGCCTGCCCAAAGACGCGCTGGCCAAGCTGTCGACGCTGGTGAGCCGGGCGCTGGTACGCATCGCCAAGGAGGCGCAGCGCCTGAGCCTGCGCTTCGCCAAGTGCACCAAGTACGAGATCCAGAGCGCCATGGAGATAGTGCTGTCCTGGGGCCTGGCGGCGCACTGCACGGCGGCCGCGCTGGCCGCGCTGTCCCTCTACAACATGAGCAGTGCCGGCGGCGACCGCCTGGGCCGCGGCAAGTCGGCGCGCTGCGGCCTCACCTTCTCTGTGGGCCGCGTGTACCGCTGGATGGTGGACAGCCGCGTGGCGCTGCGCATCCACGAACACGCCGCCATCTACCTGACAGCCTGCATGGAGAGCCTCTTCCGGGACATCTACTCGCGGGTCGTGGCCTCCGGGCTGCCCCGGAGCTGCAGCGGCCCTGGCCCGGGCTCCAGCTCGGGCCCAGGCCCGGGCTCCGGCCCCGGCACGGCCCCCGCGGCGGATAAGGAGCGGGAGGCACCCGGAGGGGGAGCGGCGAGCGGCGGCGCCTGCAGCGCAGCCAGCAGCGCCAGCGGGGGCAGCAGCTGTTGCGCCCCGCCGGCCGCCGCCGCCGCCGCCGCCGCCGCAGCCCCACCGGCCGCCGTCGCCAACCACCACCATCACCACCACCACGCACTCCACGAGGCGCCCAGGTTCACCGTGGAGACGCTGGAGCACACGGTCAACAACGACTCCGAGATCTGGGGGCTCCTGCAGCCCTACCAGCACCTCATCTGCGGGAAGAATGCCAGCGGTAAGTGGCCGCGCTGGTGCCGCCGCCTCCCACCCCACCTGGCCAACTCCGGTTGATAGTTTGCCTCGCGCGTCCCTGCCGCGTCGTTCCGGCCACCCACCGCTGTCCCAAGCCTCCGAGGGGGCCTCGGGGTAGGAGGCGGCCCGAAACTCGCCTGCTCACTCGCGCGCTCGGAATCCGCGTACACTTCACGCGGCTCCTCGGGTTCCCAAGTCCGGGAACGCACCGTGCGGCCCCTAGTGTGGGGCGGGGCGGCGGCGGCCGCCCGCAGACTGGGGGAAGAGCCCATCGCCGTTTGCGGACTCCGGCTTTATCATTTGCCCCTAGTACGTGTTTCTGCCAGAGCCCTGTGTTTGGTTTGGTTCGGTTTTTTGACCTTGAAGATGCCAAATTCTCTGGCGCACGAGTTCGGCTCCCTGGAATTCCGGAGGAGGTGCATTCCTCGCTCCACCGCCCAGTTTGGGTACTTGCCCGCCCCGGGACACTGTCCTGGCGCGGGTGTGCTAGAGGCCCCGCGGCCGTCAAGGCAGAACGTTTGAGAGCTCGCTTGGCTCAGTGGGCGAGAGGTGTGTGTGGTGAGAGGGTGGAGCCGGAAGACTTACAGGTCCCAAGTTTTCCCGGGGCAGTTTTTGAAGGCCAGAGCGCACAGCTGGTGGGTGCTGCGCTATGGACACCCCTTCCCCCCATTTCCGACCTCCCAGCTCTTGCCTCTCGGTTCCCGGTGGGAGGGAGCTGCAGCTGTCACCACTTTGCTTAAGGAGCGCCCCTAGGGACCCGGGCAAGATGGGAGTGGGGCGGGGTTCTGGACGGGGCTGTCAGTTTAGGGCGTAGCTTCCAGCAGGTTCTGTCATCCCCTCCCACACCCCCCTGTTTCGGAGGCGGGAGCTGGGTGGGTTTGAACCTGCAGTTCTGGCGGCGGAGGGGGTGGGGCCAGGGGGGCTCTTGTTTTTGAGAACTCGAGCTGGCGGTCCTGCCTGTCTGCGAAAGCCGGAGCTAGACACTTCAAAGCTTCAGTTTTCCACAGGAAATGGTAGAAGCGTAACTGGAGACTCTAAAAGCGAAATAAAACTTTGCTACATATTCGGCGGTTTGGCCGGAGATTGCGTGGTTGGAGCTGAAATGCAGTCTTTCTGGGTAGATTTCATTCATGTTGCTGCCTGTCGGTTTCCCGGGGGCTGAAAGAGACATGCAGCGGGCGCGGCCGGGCCTCTGGGGGTGCCAAGTGTGTGCATGTGAATGTGTGCTTGTTTGTGAGAGACTGTGAGCCTGTGCGTGTGTATGTTAAGTGTGCCTGTGAGTGTGCGCAGGAGAGAGCAAGCGCGCGGGGCTCCAGCAAAAGCTCTCGGGAAACTGACCCTCCAGCTCTCCCTTTCACCTGGTTTTGATCATCGTTGGGGGAGGAGAAGGAAGGAGCAAAGTGGGCGTGGTGGTGGGGGAGGGGCGGGATCGCGACATCCGCGTTGCTCTGGAGACTCTTGAGGATCTCTTTGCCAGAGACCTTCCCCCTCTGCAGCCAGTCGAGGGCGCAGAGCCTCAAACACACGTGAAATCCTGACCGAGGTGGAAACGTCTAGGAGAAAGCATTGGTCTTTATATGAGCTTCTTCAGAAGGGGGAGGATTCACCTGAAAAACCCAGGAGCTTTGGACTGGATTGCTCTCTGTTCGGAGCCCTACCCCCACAAAAAGCATAGGAGGGCTTAATTTTCTTCCCACCAGGTGCGCCGCACCTCCCCTGTTCTTACCTCTCCTGTTACAACGGTCCTTTACTTCTTACTGGCCCCCAAACCCTTATACCCCTGCTGGGACTGGACCCTGCTTTTACTAAGCTCTCACAGTGTTTCCTTCCAAGGAAGGAGCATTCCCCGTAGAGGGCACCGGTGTGGGAATCTGGGCATCCTGCTCCACCTGTTTCTTTGCCATTCTCTTGAATTTATGTCTTTGGTTGACTCTCCTTCTTGGGCCTCAGTCTACTCATCTGTAAATCAAGGGCCTCCTATAACTCTGTATTAGTAGCCTCTAGATTTTTTAAAATTGGTTTTACTTTTATGATCCTTAACATCTTTTAAAGACAGTTTTTGTGTTTGTCCTTTTCGGAGTAAGTATAATTTAAGGAAGGAGAGACCACAGAGTTGGTTTGGGGCAGGGTGAATGTGTGGCGGTGGGGTTTGCTGCCATCCTAACGGTTCCCACACCACAGAGCTTTAACTCGGTTTCAGGGCCCTTCGGCCATCTCTTAGTATGAGAGATGCTGTCATTTCATTGTGATCTCTCTATCTCCTTCCCTTGAGCTTGTTTAAAATGGCAGGTCATTTATGCGAAGAGTAAGGAATGAGCAATTAATTTCTTAGGTATCTGAAACATATTAAATATCAAACCTGTTAAACTATTTTGCATGGCCGTCTTTCTGATCTGCAAGCCTTATTAAGGAGTCCGTGCCTTACGTGATCGATTTTTTTTTCCCTTTAACTCAGCAGTCTCACCCATTTGTGAATTCGTTTATTCATCAATATTTATTGAGCAGTTAGTAAATTTAAGGACCTGGCAGGTACCGTGGTCCAGAGGTAATAACCTCCAACATGCCTCCACTACTACTCTGCATGTTGACCCATTTGATCTTCAGCATTCCCTTGGAAAGCTACTACTATTATCCCCATTGTACAGAGGAGGAACTGAGGCACAGGGAACTTAAGTGTTTTGCTCTTTATTGGCAGATGAATTCCTTGCCTTTAGCCCATCAGCTTGCCCTTCATTACCTACCCAGTTGAATAGAGACCCTTTACAGCCTGACCTTCTGTCCCAGTTCATACACTTTCTGTTCCTTTCGTACTGCACTGGGCTGTACTAGATTTTACTTTTTTTTTTTTTTTTAAGATTTTATTTATTTATTTGACAGAGAGAGACAGTGAGAGAGGGAACACAAGCAGGGGGAGTGGGAGAAGGAGAAGCAGGCTTCTCGCGGAGAAGGGAGCCCAATGCGGGGCCCGATCCCAGGATCCCGGGATCATGACCCGAGCTGAAGGCAGACACTTAACGACTGAGCCACCCAGGCGCCCCTAGATTTTACATTTTTATAACCTCTGCCCAAGTCTAAGAGAGAGCCTGGTACACAGCTGGAGCTTACTAGATGCCTGTTGTGTACTATCATACAGTGATGTCCCGAAAGAAGCTATTGAGTTTTGAGTTTCTTGGATCATCTTTTCAAACCCTTCTACCTTGATCGCCCCCTTCTTACTGCCATCTCTACACCTGTCCACCCTTCTAAATTTGCTGCTGCTAGATGCCACGCCCAAGGAATTAGGAAACGAATCACGCGGGACTCAGTTCAGAAAACAGAAGATAACCAGCTGTAAGCAAGGGCTTGGTGGGTCTCAAAAATAGGAGGACTGGGTTTAGGGCATTGTACTTTGCAGGGGGCAGGGGACTGTTTTACTCTTCAGAGGGCTTTTTTCTTATGTTGATTTTGAGCTGTTTCGAAGAGCTGGGATAAGAGCTAAGAGACCCCAGTGGATGTTGGGTTTCTGTGGGGTTTTAAAATTTGGCTTGATTGATTTTGCGAAAGCTACATAAGGGGCAGGCAGAAGCGCTTCGGCAAGCCGTTTCTGTGTGTGAGTCATTTTACCTCAATGGCTTCAGAGCTGGCCAGTTCTCATCCCTGGAGACTTGGTCCAGAATGATCTTTCCAACACCTCTGGGAGGCCTTCCTTGATGCAGCCCCTTCCCCACCCCCCATACCTGTGCCATACACAGCCCTCTCCCGCTCCCTTGGGAATCCCGACCCTGACCTTGCTTTAAGTGACTCCCCATCACACTGTGGCCCCTCCAGTGCAAGCTTATGTCCTATTCATCTTTGTCTCTCCTTTCATATCACTCAGCACAGCACCTAGCACCTAGCAGATGCCGGGTACTGTTTGTTGAAGGAATATAAGTGGCCCATTAAATCTTTGGGATTTAAAATTCACCCACCAACATCTGTCATCAACCTCTGTAAAGGCCTCTGAAATCAGACCTCCTGGATTTGAATTTCAAGGCTGTCATGTTATAGCTGTGTGTTCTTGGGCATGTTACCTAACTTCTCTGAGCCCAGTTTCTTCAGCTATAAAATAGAGGTAATAATTAGGATTAAGTGAGATTATGTGTATAAGGTTGTTATAGTCTGCTGCCTGACACACGATGGGGGCCAAAATGGTGGTGGTAGTTGTGATAATCCAGGCATAATGGTATCTCACATCTCTGTCTCATCCAGGTTAACTCACCTCCATGTGTTCAGTATGGATGGAGCCACAAGGGTACAGAATTTTACTTGGATGGATCCCTCTTCCCGATATTCCCAAAGTCAAATAATTCAGCGGGCTCATCTCAGGAATTGACTCCATGGGCTCAGCCCTCACTGCCAAGGTCACAAAAAGATTGCTTGGGTCAAAGGAAAGTAGCTCATCTTATTTGCTGTATTTTTTATTAAAGGCATCCTTAGTGAAGGGGCACTAGGGAACTTTCTGGGGTGATAGGGTTCAGAGGTACATGCATTTTTCAAAATGCATTGATTGCATTGTAAACTTTTTTTTTTTTTTTAAGATTTTATTTATTTATTTGAGACAGAGAGAATGAGAGACAGAGAGCATGAGAGGGAGGAGGGTCAGAGGGAGAAGCAGACTCCCTGCTGAGCAGGGAGCCCGATGCGGGACTCGATCCCGGGACTCCAGGATCATGACCTGAGCCGAAGGCAGTCGCTTAACCAACTGAGCCACCCAGGCGCCCCGATTGCATTGTAAACTTAAGATGTGTGCATTTCGCTGTATTTTAAAATGTAGCGCAGTAAAAAAAGACATTAAAAACAAAGCCATAGGCATCCTTGAATGAAATTCAGTTTTAAATGCAGAAAGACTGTGAAGGGAAGACTGGAAGAGGCAGTGTGGTGTGATGAAAGGGATAAGGACTTTACACTGGAAAAGATTCAGCCTCATATTTCAGCTCCGCTGCTTTCCAGCAAGTGACTTAATTT